AGACTTCAATGCCCGGAAGTTGACTGGAATACCACGTGAACACCACCAAGCAGCTTTGGTCACTTGCCAGTTAATTTCACCCTCCACTGCGCCCTAGTCAATTACGTTAACCAACCAACGCACTATCGCAGCGGGCGACCCAGTCCTGAGTAAATATTCAAACGACGTGACCAACTTGGAAATCTCCACACCCTTAGGTAGGAGTGCCCATGGGGTCCTGTAATTCTGTCTACAGGAAGATAGCCCAAATGCTTACATAAAATGGAAGAGAGCTTTTTGCAGAATACACGATAACTCCCTTGCTGCAAGAGCTATTGAGCTACACTGGGGGGAGGCGCAGCTCGACACCATAGAAAGGTTGTGGACCACCATACAGTCCAACCTCTTTATGCTCACTTCTAAGTTTGGTCCGCTAAGGAGGATCCGCAGAAACGGCAAACTCCCCTGGTGGTCCAGCAGGGTAGCAAAGGCATAGCCCCAAAAGCGTCAAGCTGGGAGGCAGTACCTGAAGATCCGAAGTCACCAAAGGTATATACAGTACCTCAGAGAGAGAGAGATAGGGCGATCAGTTCCCAGGTGGCTTGCCGTAGGGCCCTCGAAACGAGACTGGCGCGGAGGATTAAAGAATACCATAAGGCATTTTTCAACTACGTAAAAGCTAACTCAAAGTTGCGTACGGCGATAGGCGCTCTTAAGGACGAGAGCAAATACCTAGTCCTAGCCAGCTCGGAGAAAGCGGAAACCTTCAGACAATTCTTCGAAGCAGCTTACGTTAAGGATAACGGAGCACCCGGGGGACAACAAACTCCGAGGCCCATCCCAAGTATGGCAGATCGCTAAATACTCCCTCAGGTGGTTGACGACCACCTGAGGTGCCTAAATACTGGCAAATCGGGAGGGTGAGTTGGCATCCACCCAGCCATCCTTAAACCCTGGCAACAGTTCTGGCCCACCCACTGGCCCGTCTGTTTAACATATCCCTATGTCACGGCCAACTACCGGTAGACTAAAAGATAGTAGAGGTAGTGCTTATCCACTAGGGAGGGTCCAGGGACTCGGTAAGAAACTATAGGCCGGTCAGTCTACTGCCAATTCTACCAAAAATCATGAAAAGAATCCTCAGAGATCGCATCGCAAAACACGTACTGAGTCAGGGTTTGATATCGCCCAACCAGCAACGTTTTGTGCAGAAGAAGTTCTGCCCGTCAGACTTGCTGGACTTCATGAATGAGATCACCCAAAGGCTCGACCGAGGGGAGCGTGTGGAAGTCTGTTACCCAGACTTCCAAAAGACATTTGACTCAGTCAACCACGGACTGTTGATCTAAAAAGTAAGGATATTCCGTCTGCCTGAACAAGTCATCAAATGGATTTCGGGGTACTTACTTCGCCGGTCCTTCTACATCAGGGTAGAGGGTGAAATGTCCACTCGGGAAGCAATCTGTAGTGGTGTGCCCTAAGAATCCGTGCTGGGATCTCTATTATGTCTCGTCTACATAGACGACCTGACCAAAAGGATAGTACACCCTCCTTTCTGTTTGCCGATGAGGTAAAAATCATCGGTGACCCCTCCAGAAACGCCATTTAGGACGACTTGGACGAAGTCCAGAAGTGAACGGAGGAGTGGCTGTTGCTGCTTAACGCTGGCAAGTGCAAACAGCTACACTTATGGGGATCCCTCGCAGAGACGAGGGCGATAAATGGCACGGTGCCCACACCGGTGGAAATCACTGATGAGGTCAGGGACCTAAGTATCATCATGCGCGGTTCCTTCCAGTCCACAAGACAATGTCAACTAGCCTAAGCAAAGGCTTCTAATGCGCTGTACTTGCTGAGAAGAACAGTAGCATCAAGGTACCCTGCAGTGTGACTGCCCTCTACAAGGCTCTGTTGCGGCCACACCTCAAATGATGCGTGCAGGCGTGGGCTCTGAGCCCCGTGCGCGACAAAAAGGCTCTAGAACACGCCCAAAGACGCTCCAATAGGCTTTTTCCTGCCCTGAGGATGATGTCATATCCGAGGCGCCAGAGAGAGCTAAGCTTGTCGTCTCTAGCTCCTAGATGAACGAGGGGTGACTTAAAAGTTTTTAAAATATTGAAGGGACCCTCACAGCTTAGCAGGCAACTCTTCTTACTCAGTGAAAACCCAGCCCTAAGAGGACTCCAGTTGAAGCTGGTCATTCCTCGCGCATTAAAGAAAAAAAGGGCAAACGAATTCTCTCATGCAGTGGTCAACGCTTGGAACAGAATTCCTGATGAGGCTGTCTCGGTGTCCACGCTAGAACTATTCAAAAAAGGCTTGATGAGGTGTAGGACGTAACTTTCCCCGAATCAGCTTAAAGAAAAAAGCTATTCCTTGGTGGTAGCAACATCTTTAGCTTTCCAAAACACTTCCCTCCCCATCTTCTTTTTTATTAACAATATCTCCCTATATACTTCAACTACTTTCACCTCATCTGTCTAACTCCAGCTCCGCACATCCTCCTCTCCGTACTAGCTTACTTTTCTTTTCTTATCTTAACCTAACTTCGCATGCCTGCGGGTTTTCTACTGTTTGTTGGAGGGGTACTTTGGACCTCCTGGTTGGCCGGTGACTGCTCAGCTGGTGCTGCTTCCATCGACAGGAAACCGGTTTGGCGTGCCTGCTCTGCGGCAGTACCCCTACACTACCAAGGACCGACCAACCAACTGTTGAAACATTAGGAGACACGTGGCCCGTAGACGCAAGAACCTGGACTACCATACTGTCTCAAGCTGCAAGTCCTATGAGCTGTCCTGTCCTTTGCTGTCCTGGCAGGATTAAATCCGCAAAATTCCCTCGAAGGAGTGTACAGGGTGGGAGTGTGGAAGAACACTGGGCCGGGTGGGCAAATTTCAACAAGGCCGTTTCTCGTAGAATTCAACAATCCAGGTATGCGAGATCTACTCTTCAAGAGGGCCGGTTGGATAGTAAATTGCATTCAGGTACAATTAAGAATAGTCCGTGACCAACTAAGGCAGCTCCTCAGGCCCCAGAATCGAGCGAAGCGGTCGTCATAGTGGAGGACATATTGGAAGAAGATGAATGGCAGAGTTGCCATCAGCCTTCAGGAGTAAGTGACACAGTAGTTTAGCACGGGGACTACCTGTGCAACTAGCACACCCGTAAAGAGGTCATCAGACTCCACGGGGCAGGATTGCACAATAAGATGTGCAACTCCACACGTGGAGGTTGATGCAGAGGCCCCCCAAAAATATGTTCTCCTAGGGTCCTCTGCCCGAGTCTTGAAGTTTTGAAGTATTTCACGGGTTCGAGGCTAAGCCCAATGCTCCCGGATCTTGGAATTGGGAATAGGGAAACGATAGAAGAGGTTGACTCTGCTGTATACACAGGCTTGCAGTGTCAGAAACAAGTGGGACGAGGTTCTGATGGCAGCGGAGACTCACAAGGCTACCGCTGTAACCATAACAGAAACCTGGCTTCCAGAGAATGATCCCAAACCTAGTATAGTTCAAGATAAGTTCGTTACCTATAGAACGGATAGGGGTCGCTCTGTACAAGGAGGAGTAGCCCTGCTATTAAAACCCCACATGTGCTCAGTAGGATCTAATACTGAGGTTTCTTCTCTCAATGTGCAGCTAGTTGCAGTGGATCTTATCATGAATAGCAGAAGAGTATCCATTGCCTGCGTATATAGGGGTCCTAGTGAAACACAACTGGAGGGCCAACAGACTATCCAGGCACCAGACAACCGAGCTTGAAATTCGACCACACTGGTCGTCATGGGCCACTTAAAATTAAGGTATGTTGATTGGGAGCTCGGAGGGGTGACCCCGAGGTTCAGGCGACAGCTACCTCGAATGGATTCACTCTCGGGCCCTTTGGCAGCACGNGCAGGAGAACACTAGGTAAGGCAAAAAGCTGTCGTTGCTGCACCTGATCATCACAGCGCAGAAGGAAGAAGGACAAAGTCTAGAGTTTTTCCCTCACATCGGTGAAAGTGATCATCTTCTCATTCAGAAGACACTTCAGTTAAAACCACCCAGACCCTGTGAGGAGATGTGTAGGAACTTTGGGAGGATCGACGCAAATCTACTCCGAGCTAAGGCAGCTCAGCTGAGTTGGTACAATTCGGAGTAGCTGAAGTAGAAGAAAGCTGAAGTATAATAAGAAACCACCTGGTGAACATCCAAGATGAGCTTGCTCCCTTAACCCATAGAAATTCAAAGAAGTAGCCGCCATGGTGACACGTTCCTGTAGGTAGGGCTATTTAACGTAGAAACTGAAGATGGAAAGCTTTTCGAGCTTCGGGTTTTCAGATGCCATGGAGACAGTACAAGAGGCATCGTAACGAAACAGCCTCGCTCGTTAGAAAGAGTAAAAGCGACTTAAATGTGAAACCATCCAGCCGAGCCAAAAAAGAAGCCGAAACGCTACTACCACTACGCTCAAGCCAAGGCCCCAATAAAAGGATGATGAGATCTCCACAGTTGCAAGGTAGGACCGTAATCGATAACCAGGGAAAGGTAGACGCCTTTTGCACATACTTAAGTAGTGTGCATAGAGTAGATCTGGCGACCTGGCACTACCGGATTTCGTCCTCCCAACAGAAGAGGTAGAGAAATACTTGTGTCATTAGAGGCAGTTCATCGGACATTAGCTGAGTTGAATATACGTCTCCAGGGCCCGATGGAGTACACCCGACAGTCGTTAAATCGATCCCGAATATAGTAGCGGGACAGCACAGGGAGTTATACGAAGCCAGCCTAGATTAGTGCAAACTAACGAGGGACTGGAAAACAGCTGCAGTTGTTGCCATTTACAATCCCAGATTAAGAATTACAGGCTAGCTAAGCTCAAACACAAGGGAATATGCGGGAAGATACATAACTGGATCAGGGAATTCTTGACCGGTGGCACGTTTAACGTGGGTATTGGAGACAAAGTATCAGCTAAAGCCATACCCACTAGTGGAGTACCACATGGCTCAGTGCTTGGTCCCTTACTGTTTCTCATTTGTATAGACGACTTGGCTGCCATCCGACGTTCGTCATGCTACATCTTTGCAGATGATGTCAAGATAGTGGTATCAGCCAGTCGGCAGCAATTGCAGGATGAGCTGCGTAGAGCAAAGGAGTGGGTAACAGTTTTGGACCTCCCACTGGGAAAAAATGAAAAATAATGACAAAATGATTCTTTTTATGAATACACAGGTGAAAGAATAAAATATCGCATACTAAATGACTCTCTACGCTATGTAAAAACGTGCTACAAGGCAAAACGTACAGGTCACATAAGGACTCACCCGCCACTAATGATCTGATGGCATGGGTCGGGATCAGGTGCCTACTTCAAGGGTGTCGCGAGGTTTGCNACGGGTGGGGGACGGTAGTGGCGTGGCATCCAAACTACTAGCATTTCTAAAAACGACCGATTTTTCAATGTATTTTAGAAGTATTTCACAAGTATTGTGACTTAATGTTCCGTAAACAGCATGCTTCTGGAATTGTTTTCACTCAATTCACTCCGTTCTAGTCCGTGGCACATGCTAGCCAGGTAGCTGCGTCCACTTTCTTAACCCATTGTTATCATTACACGGAATCAGTTTCGAAGCTGAATCTGTGGAATTCAAAACTCTGGTGCGCACTGTCACAAGCATTTTGTTGTCTTACCACGCTGAAACTCCTCGATATGGTCTTATGTCTATATTTACTCCGGCACCCTATCATTTTAGTAAAACGTGCTAGGTGTGCACTTATTTTTAGTATTGTTCCTTTGCATGCTCGGTTTCCCCCTCGTCCTTCCCTTTTTAGCTGGTTACTACCCCAGATTGCTGCATATCGCCTCTTTGTTCCAGATTCGGTTGGTTTGGACCTGACGAAGGCTTGGGGTCCTCACCCACAATGGACAATTTGGCTCCGACCATGGTTGTTGGGCATGGCTGTTTCCACCGTTTTGACTTCATGCGTCCGCGTTCCGGACCAGGTTGAGAACCACACTCCCCGCCTCACCTACATGGTGTTTTAAGGTTGGGTGTATAGCGTGTATTCAGTTCCACATCAAAGCGACCAACGTCTAATTAATCTAAATAATCCAAATCACTGCTTGATCGATTGAAGCCCCGAACCCAATGAACTTGTCTCCAGAAGCGAGTTGTATTGTAGCATAGAGTGAAACATGTTCCTTTACCGACGTATTATTCTGGCTGTATTCCTTCCTTTCTATTCTTGTCCTCATGCCTCCACCATCTGGCAGCATTTGTTCCACAGACCTCCTCTCCGTATTTCCCCGCACTGTTGCCGTACGTCCAATCCTTCCGAGACCAGCTTTACTCGTTAACACACAATTGGCTGGGAAGTGAACAAAACATTGAGCTTTGCTGCATGGAAGGTATTAC